GGAGTCTGCTTCTCCCTCTGACCCTCCCCCCTCTCGTGTGCTCTCTCTCTCTCATTCTCTCTGTCTCAAATAAATAAAAATTAAAAAAAAAAAAAAGATTTTAAAAATCACCTCACTTTGAAAAAATATCTCAAGACTGAAATTGTGAACAAGTTTTGAAGAGTAAAATTTTCCTTTTTCATTGCTTGCTTAATTCTGTGGCTGAATTACAAACCATTGTGATAGTTCTTTGATTTTCTGTGTGTACTGCCCCCTTTTGGAAAAGAGATTGTGATGCATTATGTTTTATTTTAAAATTAATACATTGATACTTACCTATTTAAAATTCAAAGGTTGATACATAGTATCAAGGAGGAAGACCTTCCTCTGCACGGTGTTCCTTCTAGCTGGACCTAGAATCAAATTGCCATGAGACAGATTAACAGGAGAAAATCAAATTTAATAGGTGTACATATGGGGAGTCCAACGCAGACATGAAATTCCAAAGACAGTGAGGCAACACGAAGCTTACATGAGCGAAGGCAAGGGGTAGGTTCTAAGGATACAAAGGGGAGAAAGTTCATTAGTAAGAAGGTGAAAGGAGATGTTTGGAAAAACAAGGTTTTGGAGTTCTGCAGTTAAGTTCCTTAGGTGAAGGGGAGCCTCTGTTAATAGCTCTTTTTCCCAGCTTAGCAGTTGAGGGGGAGGCAGAGAGCTTTTCTTGCATCTGCTGGGTTTTGATTACTTTTAACTCAAAATAATCTTTATATCAAAGTGGCCCATCTTGGGGCAGCCTGCCCTTAACCCCCTATGATAAGTTCTAAAATAGTTTTTCTAAAATGTTGGGGTTTTTTAAAAATATATTGGTGTTTTTTTTTTTTAAGATTTTACTTATTTATTTGATGGAGAGAGATAGCGAGAGCAGGAACACAAGCAGGGGGAGTGGGAGAGGGAGAAGCAGGCTTCCGGCCAAGCAGGGAGCCCGATGTCGGGCTTGATTTCAGGACCCTAGGATCGTGACCTGAGACTAAGGCAGACGCTTAATGACTGAGCCACCCAGCGCCCCTAAAATGTTGGTGCTTAATGAACTTTATTTTTTTTAGCTTTTATTGCTATATCTACAGCACTTGTTTCTCCAAATTAAAAATAATGAAAACCTATTGAATTATGGGACAACACTGTTTAGTAGTAACACTACTCAGCATTTATGCTCGAGTTGGAAAAATGAAAATTATAAAATTCATAAATAAAGTAAAAATGTGATTAAACATTAAAATTTTAAAAATATTTTATTGCATGAATGTATCAGACTAACTTAACTTGGGTTTTCCAAAACATTTGGTTTGTTTCAGTTTTTCTTTTTTTTTTTTTTAAAGAAGGCTCCACACCCAACTTGGGGCTTGTAACTCCCGACCCTGAGATAAGAGTCACATGCTTACCAATTGAGCCAGCCAGGTGCCCCGAAAGTTAAAATTTTTCCCTGAGTTGTGTTTCTATCAGACCATTGTGTTTGCTTCAGATTAGAGAGTTTACATTTTACTTGTGTAACTTTTTTTTTTTTTAACCAGAGAGAATGCACATGAGCAGGGCAGGGAGAGGCAGAGGGAGAGGGAGAAGGAGACAGAGAATCTTAAGCAGGCTCCACAGTCAGTGTGGAGCCCGCCGCAGGGCTCCCATCTCACAACCCCCAAGATCATGACCTGAACCAAAATCAAGAGTTGGGCGCTCAACTGACTGAGCCACCCAGGTGCCCCCTTATGTAACTTTTTAATAACAAATTCTGTTTGGTTATGAATAAAATTATATATATATGCAAGAAATACTTGGGGATTTAGGGGTATTATATACAGGGTGGTGCATGGTGTACAACAGATTGTATAAAAACCCATTTTTATTAGTTACAACATTGTACCTAACCAGTTGTCAGGGGAGGCTGACTTCTAAACTGAGACTTCAAAGGTTAACTAGAGAGGGGCACCTGGGTGGCTCAGTCGTTAAGCGTCTGCCTTCGGCTCAGGTCATGGTCCCGGGGTCCTGGGATCGAGCCCCACATTGGGCTCCCTGCTTGGCGGGAGGCCTGCTTCTCCCTCTCCCACTCCCCTGCTTGTGTTCCCTCTCTCGCTGTGTCTCTCTCTGTCAAATAAAATCTTTAAAAAAAAAAAAAAAAACGGTAACTAGAGAAAGGAAGGAGAAGGGAGTATGGGTTAATGAGAAAGACAGAGATGTGAATACTCCCTTGCTTACCTGTGTAGTCTGTTCTCTAACATACAGTTGTATTCCTAAGAAACTTTGAATTCCCAAAAATCATGTTACTATGTAATACCTATTACTTTGATATGGATAAAAAGGATCAATGACTAAAAAATAGCAATCTTAATTTTTCTATGGCAATTTTGATAATAAAGAAAAATTTTTTTAAGATTTTATTTATGTGAGAGAGAGAGAGAGCATGAGAGGCGGGAGGGTCAGAGGGAGAAGCAGACTCCCTGCTGAGCAGGGAGCCCGATGCGCGATTTGATCCTGGGACTTGAGGATCATGACCTGAGCCGAAGGCAGTCGTCCAACCAACCGAGCCACCCAGGCATCCGATAATAAAGAAATTTTAATCACTAGTTAAGATGTAAACAGTATATAAACCTAAACAGTTGTTATGGTGTAGTGGTTAAAGCCTTGGCTCTGGAGTCAGTGAGTCAGTAGAGACGCTTTTAACTTCAAATAACAGAAGGTCGTCTGACAGTGGGTTAAATAAATCGGGTCCCTCCCGCCCCCTGCCTCCTCCCCAAGAAAACTAGAGTTAGGCAGCTTCTGGTGAAAGCTGAGTGGCTTATAGTTGGTTGTCTCTGAGATTCTCTTGATTTTTTTCTTCATGGTTACACAGTGGTAGCATTTTGTTTTGGAGAGCAGAACTTATCTCTGCTTACATCTCAGCATTTGTCCTTTGGCTGGAAGGTGGCTAGGAAGAACTGGGTTGAAAATGGTGGTTGGGTCGGCCAACCAACAATATTAGCGGTCAGACTGACTGATTTTAATGTCACGTCTGCCACTGATTAGCATTGTAATGGTGGTAAAGTTAATTAGCCTTTCTAAGCCAAAATTTCTTCATCTGTATGATGAGGATAAAGAGGATAATTATTATTAAAATACTACTCCTATTTCTTACTCCTACTAAAATGAGAGAATGAATATAAAAATCCAAGCAATGTACCAGACAAGGGAGTTAGTGCTCACAAAATATTCACTCTGATTTTATCATCATCATCATCATCATCATCATCATCATCATCATCTTTCATGTCAACATCAGCTTCATTCTTTTATTGAGGTAAAAGTCACATAACATAAAATTGACCATTTTAAAATGTGCAAGTCAGTGGCATTTGATACATTCACGGTGTTGTGCAACTATCGGTCTAGTTCCAAAATATTTTTAATCACTCCATAAGGACCTGTGGTACCCATTAAGTAGTCTCTCCTTTTCTCCTTAACACAGCTTCTGGTAATTATTAATCTGCTTTCTACCTCTATGGATTTACCTGTTCTGGATATTTCGTATAAATGGAATCATTCAGTACATAACCTGTTATGTCTGACTTCTTTCACTTAGCATGTTTTTGAGGTTCGTCCATGTCATAGCATGTATCAGTACTCCATTCCTTTTTATGGCTGAATAGTATTCCATTTTATAGAATTACTTCATTTTGTTCTTCATTTATTAGTTGATAGACATTTGGGTTGTTTCTACCTTTTGACCATTGTGAGTAGCGCTGCTCTGAACATTTGTTTACAAGTGTTTGTTTGAATACCTTTTTTCACTTCTTGTGAGTATATATGTAGGAGTAGAACTTTTGGGTCATGTAGTAATTCTATGTTTAACTTTTTGAGGAACTGCCAAGCTATGTTCTATATCATCTGTACCATTTTCATTCCCACTAGCAATGTCTGAGAGAGTTCCAGTTTCTGTACATCTTTGTCAAGACTTGTTATTTTCTGTTTGTTTGTTTTTCATTATAGCCATCCTAGTGTGGATGTGAAGTTATATTTCATTGTGATTTTTATTTGCATTTCCCTGATGATTAGTGATACATCTTTTCATGTGCCTGTTGACCATTTGTTTATTTTCCTTGGAGAGAGGACTATTGAGGTCCTTTGCCGTTTTTAAATTAGCTTGTCTTTTTTGTTGTTGAGTTGTAAGAATTTTTTATATTTTCTAGATACTAATCCCTTATTAGGTTTATTATTTGCAAATATTTTCTCCCGTTAATTTTCTCTGCATGTTATGAAGTAGGGCCAACCATCAATTTTATTTTTATCCTACTTTTGTAGGATATTGTATTACCCATTATTAGCATGAAGCCACTGCAACAAAGTATCTGAATCATTTTTCTGAATAGCTTTTTCTCTGTATACTCAACCAGTAGTAATTTCCTTCTTGATTTTTATAATTGAAGTAATCTATATAATGTAAAATGTGTTCCCTAATTAACTGACACCATTTTATCCAGTGTGTAACAGGAAATCTTGAGCTGCGTTAGACATATCTATAGTAGGTCCAGGTTTTTTAATTTATAAAATTGGCAGGGCTGGTTAGTAAATCTCCAAGTTTGTTTTTAAATTTAAAATTTCATCACTGATTTTGAACATTGAATTTGCTATCAGAGTGTAGTTGATGAGAATATGTGATTGCTGCTTTTGCAGTCTAATCTTGTTTTATTTGGTAACTCATAGTCTGTTTATGTCTTTTATTGAATGGCATACCTTCATTAGAAGTTAACTTACTAGTCCTTTTCTCCCCCTTCATCTACAGTTCAGGATGATGTACTTTGGCAAAAAGTGGTGGTGGTATGGCAGCCTGTACAGGGCTGTGTCATACTGTTCTTTAGCATTAAAAACACAGTGTCCCAGTGTAGGATGGATAGGACGGATCTTAGGCATTCTTCAGCTAACTGTCCAAAGTTTTAACTTAAAGTTGTTTAACTCTTTGTTCTAAACAAAGGATATAATTTGTTTTTTTCTTTTTTTAGTACTTGATTCTGAAACTTGAAAGGCCTGCTATAGTCCAGAACATCACATTTGGAAAATATGAGAAAACTCATGTCTGCAATTTGAAGAAATTTAAAGTCTTTGGTGGAATGAATGAAGAAAATATGACAGAGCTATTGTCCAGGTGAGTTATGATTATGGGGAAGAAGGAGTTGTCTTCCAAACAAGCTGCAGTCTTAGTTTTATCTCTTTGTGGCTAAATCTGCATGTTTGATCTTTCTTTCAAGGGAGAAAAGAATATTTCTACTATTGTATTTCTAGTGCCTTATTTTAATATGGTGACTTGAGTTAGCCTTTTTTTTAACCAGCAGCCACAACTTAATATTGTTACTAAAGAAGAAAATAAAACTTGGGTGTTTTTTTTCCCTACTTATTTTTCGATCTTATTTTTGAACTGTAAATGACCACAGAAATATTTTCAGCTTCAATAAAAATCTTTGCTTTAAAATTATGAGATTTGGGGAGTCTGGGTGGCTCAGTCAGTTAAGCGTCTGCCTTTGGCTCAGGGCATGATCCCAGGGTCCTGGGATCAAATTCCGCATTAGGCTCCTTGCCCAGCGGGGAGCCTGCTTCTCCCTCTGCCTGCCGCACCCCCTGTTTGTGCTCTGTCTCTCTCTCTGACAATTAAATAAATAAAATCTTAAAAAATATATGTACAGACTCTATCTAAAACATTAGGATTGTTTGCCCTAATCCAGAAACAGTATTTTGGGAATTTAGTATAAATTGGAGACTAAAAAGAGAAAGAGTATGTGACTGTATCTACCACAGTGCCTGCCACTTGGAAGGAGCTTAGTAAATTTGAGTTTTAAAGACATAGACCATGAGGAATGAAAGTGTTAATTTGCCCCCTGGATAATGAAAAATCAGACAGCCAGTAGAAGGGACAAATAAAGCCACAGTGTTTTAGAATATATTTGTGATATAATATGTCCCATTAGCACAGTATTTGATATAAGTAAATATTACATCTATCCTGCGTGTAAGTCATGAAAGTATTTTAGGACATAAGGCAACCTGAAGGTAAGTGATTTTCCCATAAATACTTGTGTTTCAATCCTGTTTGTGTAGAAAGGTGATAAGGGTTTATTTTTATGTAGGATGAAGTGGGTGCTATTAAACCAATGGAGTTAAAAGTGTCTTTGAAAATTTACTGAGCTCTAAAAGGAACATTATTAACATCTTAATCAGAATTTTTAAGAACTTAATTGTTTCACAGACTTTAGTATTTGGCTCTAAGTTGTCAGATATGTACATGAATTATTTTTAATTTTTTTCTTACTGCATACATATTTTATGTTATATTCAGTTCTACTCTAAGGACACTAGGTCCTATCACACATTTCCATGCACTGTAGCCACATCTTTTTATTAACACTGATCGTTTTTCATTAGGCCTCATATAATTAAGAGAACACAGTTATGATACAGTTGATATGAATATACAAGTTTTGACCTATATTCCCATGTTTGACTACTACTTATTTTTTTTAAAGCTTATTTATTTATGTATTTGTCAGAGAGAGCACAAACAGGGAGAATGGCAGGCAGAGGGAGAAACAGGCTCCCCACTGAGCAAGGAGCCCGATATGGGACTCGATCCCAGGACCCTGGGATCATGACCTGAGCCGAAGGCAGACCCTTAACCAACTGAGCCTCCCAGGCTTCCCTTCGACTACTTCTTTACATTTTCTTGGTCGTGTATTTTGTTTAACCTTAAGATCTGAGTATGATTTATGTTTAGTGTGTTTACTAAATTATAAAGTCAGATTTGATAACCTATTTTTTTTCACAGTGGCTTAAAGAATGATTATAACAAAGAAACATTCACCTTGAAGCATAAAATTGATGAACAGATGTTCCCTTGTCGATTCATTAAAATAGGTAAGGTTTTTAGCATTCTGAAATGAAATAAATTCCTTATACCATCAGTCAACAAACTACAGTCTCTGGGCTGAATCCTTCAGAACTCCTGTTTCTTAAAATAAGATTTTATGGGAACACTGCCACACTGGTTATTCACTGGTTGTAATGTCTGTCTTGCATTTGCTCTACAAAGTAGTTGCAAGAGACAGGATGTTTACTGTTTGGCCCTTTGCAGCAAAAGTTTTCTTTTCCCTGCTTTATAAATCTATAACTAAGTGACAGTTATTTCAGGTAGAACATTTTCTAAGTATTTTTTCATTTGAACGTTTTCTTGGAAGGTTTAATGAGATAAGTGACTTAGTTCAGCTTTGATTGTTTTATGGAAGGTTTATCAAGTTACTGTAAAGCTATAATATTCTAAAACTAAATACTGATGAATTCCTTAAGGCAGTATATTATGGTTACTTTCTGGTTTTTTTTTAACCCTCCCCCCATTCTGTTTTATGTCTTTGTGTGTGTGTGTGTGTGTGAAATGTTCATCAAACCTATTAAACTAATTTTGTGTCCTTTGGTGCAAGTAATGTTTGAAAAATACTACCTAAGGCATGTATTTATTTAGCAAGTGTTTAGCTTAAGACAATATTTGTAATGCCTCCTCAACATCAGTATTTTTAGAGTTATTTTGCTTTTCTTTAGGATTTATTTCTTTTTTTAAGGTAGAAAAGTGAGGACTTGAATCTTTCAATTTGCAGTCTGCATCTATGTTACATAACTGAAAATACTATGTTAAAATTAAAGTGAATCAGATCCTTCAAAGAATATTAATAAAAGCCAGAATCCCATGTTTTGATTTGGGAGAAAAATTCCTCTTTTGGAACAAGCAGTGTACTTCATAGTCATTTTTTGCCAACCTGTCAAGAGGTGGCCAGTTCATTTCATTGAATCAGATAGTTCTGTTGGGCAAAAAGAATATTTAAGGTCTTAATAAAGATTACTATAGAGGAAAAACTACTTTTACAATAGTTGGGCTATCCAGTGTGTTACTTTCTTTTATGACTATAGTTTCTGTTGTTATAATAAATAATTGTAAATAAAAACCTGTTTCCTGTTTTTCTATGAGAATTTATGAACAAGCAAATTTTTTGACTTAGTTTAACTCTTGTTGGTTTTTTGTTTTTTTTTTGTACTGAGTACTTCTTTCCTCATTATGCAGGCCACCAAGTTCCTATAGACCCTAGCATAGCTTTAATAGTTCTACGTTCACATCTTTCAAATGTACAAGCAGTGAAACGTCTTATGTTTTCCTGTAATAGATTTAGGTTATATTAAATTTTAAAGTACTTATTCAACTTCTGTTTTACTTCATCATGCAAAATGAAATTTCTCTTTCTCTTTTTATGTTCAGAATCTTATTTGTGCTTTTATGCACAGTACCCACAGTCGTTGGTTTACTTTGAAGGAAACTACCTACTGCTACTGCTTCTATAGTTCTCAGTCTTCTAGTATTATTTGTTAGAAGAAGTATGAATAAATGTCTGTTTAGGGAAGTTGCATAGTTTTCTTCCCTTAAAAATTTATAAAACAGAGGTCTCCTCTGGACCAGTTAGACATTCAGCTGCCCAAAGATAAGAAATTGGACCTCTTTCCAGCCCTGTCAGCCTTTAATTACAGGGCATAATGGGATGTCTTTTACTTAGCCCTGGGTTAGTTTTATGGTATTCAGGCAAAATGTTAATTGGAGCTTTCAAATAATTATAGATACTTATTAACTCATTGATACTTAGGATATTAATATTTAGATAACTTCATATTTCTTTTCTGTTAGAAGATGTTAATAGTGGTCTACTGTGTGCTTGCTTTCTAATCTTCTCAACATTCTCTTGATAAATTTTCTTCGAAAATAATATAAAGTGAAAATGTGAAACTCAAAGCCTTTATGTTAGGTTAGTATTTTTAGTTTATCACCATGTTTTCTTTAAAAAAAATCATTCTGAAAAAGCACTTGAATGATATGTGGTGCTCTTGTGGTGGTAATTTAGCAGGTATTTGTTTCGTGCTTAGGATAAATTGCTAGAATGACTTGGATTTCTGTGGATTTTTCTGATTTTTGCAGACTGGGTGGTTGTGAGGGCTTTAGGGAGAAGCTTCAGCTCTGGCTAGATTTGGCCTGCATTCTGGATCCTCAGAAGTTTTTAGAAGTCTAGAATGAGTACTAAGTCTGGGAGGGGTGCCCTGATGGTAGCCCTTTATGAAAGCAGGTGGAAAGGTGACATCCTATGTACCATAAACTCCTCTGAATCCTTAGGTTTTTGGATTCACTCTTCTGTTTCAATAATTTACCTTCTCTTTCCCTCAGTAATATCAAACTTATAATTACTGTATATTTTTAGTATGTTTATTTTCTTTTGGATATTCTTGTGTTACTGATGTTTTTAAAAATCAGCTTGTTCAATTATATGTAAAGAGAAAAATGGATATGGGGCACCTAGCTGGCTCAGTTGGTGGAGTATGTGACTTGATCTTGGGGTTGTGAGTTGAGCCCCACGTTGGATGTAGAGATTACTTAAAAAATAAAATCTTAGGGGCGCCTGGGTGGCTCAGTTGGTTAGGCGACTGCCTTCGGCTCGGGTCATGGTCCTGGAGTCCCGGGATCGAGTCCCGCATCGGGCTCCCTGCTAGGCAGGGAGTCTGCTTTGTCCTCTGGCCCTGTCCCCTCTCATGTGTTCTCTCTCTCTAATTCTCTCTCTCTCAAATAAATAAATAAAATCTTAAAAAAAAAATAAAATCTTAAAAAAAAAATTGGATATATACCACTGAGCCTTTGATTGAGATTACATTAAATTTATAATAAATTTGAGGGGAACTGGCATGTTTACAACATTGAGTTTTCCCATTTAAGAACATAGTATGTCCTTTCATTTATTCAATTCTTAATTAACATTTTATATTTTCTGCAATAGCTCCTGCCTATATTAACATTTATTCTGAGATACTGTAAGCTCTTGTGACCTTTTTAAAGGGGACTTTTTCATTAAATTTTCTAGTTAGTTATTACAGGTAGAGGGAAAACTGATTTTCATGTTTACCTTGCATACAATCTTAAGTTTTTCAGTTGACTCCCTTGAATTTTTTATGAAGATAGCTATATCATCTTCAAGTGATACTGTTTTTTCTTAATTTGCTTTTTTTTCCCTCTCTCTCTTACTGCATTGGCTAAGATCTCCCATATAGTGTTGAATAATAGAGATAATTGGGCTTCTTTGTCTTGTTCCTGACTTGAGCAGCAATACTTAATGTTTCTCCATTAGGTTTAATTTTTGAGGTCTTTGATATTTAACAAAAAATTTAGGTAAGGTAGTTTTCTTTTGTCTTCTATTTCTTACATATTAAGAGGGGTTTTTTTTCTTCTAATGAGTAGAAAATAAATTTTATTAATTTACTCTTAGCACCACTTAACCACTTGAAGTTATCAGACACATTTTTTACTTTGTTAACATGGTGAATTACACTAATAGAGCTTCTATTATTGAACCATCCTTCTATTCCTGGAATGAACTCTATTTGGTTATAGTGAAAACCTGGTAGAATTTTTTTGCAACTTAAAAAAATTTTTTTGAATATATACTTACAGCTGAGATCAGCCTTAAATTCTTTTTCTTCTGAGTTTATTTTCAGGGTTATACCACTTGTTATGTAATTGAACTTTTGCTCTCTTTTTGTGCTCTGATACAGTTTAATTTATATAGTAATTATTTGTTTCTTGTGGGTTTGATAAAAATTTTTTTTTTAAAGATTTTATTTATTTATTTGACAGAGAAAGACACAGCGAGAGAGGGAACACAAACAGGGAGTGGGAGAGGGAGAAGCAGACTCCTTGCCGAGCAGGGAGCCCGATGCGGGACTCGATCCCGGGACTCCAGGATCATGACCTGAGCCGAAGGCAGTCGCTTAACCGACTGAGCCCCCCAGGCGCCCGGGTTTGATAAAATTTGACTGCTAAATCATCTAGTCCTGGTCCTGTTTTTAGAGAGGTAGATAAATAAGCACTTTGAATTTATTTTATAGTGTTTTTTTTTTAAAGATTTTATTTATTTACTTGACAGAGAGAGACACAGCGAGAAAGAGAACACAAGCAGGGGGAGTGGGAGAGGGAGAAACAGGCTTCCCGACGAGCAGGGAGCCTGATGTGGGGCTTGATTCCAGGACCTTAGGATCATGACCCGAGCCGAAGGCAGACGCTCAACGACTGAGCCACCCAGGCGTCCCTATTTTATAGTGTTTTTATAAATTACATCCCTTGATGGCATGGATCATATTTTCTTTTTTTTCTTACTGTAACCCCAGCACCTAATAATACAGTGTTAGGCTTATAGAAAATGTTCTGAAAATTTATTGAATGAATTTAAATGGGCATGAATAGTGATTTTACTCTGCTAAAGTTTTATTTGAACTATGTTAATTTTTTTTCTTTTTCTTTCTTTCTTTTCTCCACAAAGTTCCACTCTTATCCTGGGGACCCAGCTTTAACTTTAGCATCTGGTACGTTGAACTTAGTGGCATTGATGATCCCGATGTAGTACAACCCTGTCTCAACTGGTATAGCAAGGTAGGACTGTATTTTAAAATCCTGATTTTATGTTTCTGATACCTATAAAGGGAGCAATGTGTAAAGCTTTTGTCTTCTTTGAGAATAATTTAAAATACTGAGAATAGTAATAACTGTAGTGATTAATCAGCTAACATTTATTTACATTCTGCCAGCTGCTAAGCAATCTTTATAACTTATTTAATCATTACCACTCTATGAGATAGGTAGTTATTATCCCTCTTTTACAGATGATGAAATGGAGCACCGAGACTTTGAGGATCTTGCTTGGTCCACACAGTTCACAGTTGTAAAGTGCCCACACCAGCATATAAACTCAGGCAGTCTAGCTCCAGAGTCTGCCATTATATGTATTATTAAACCTATCTGATCCTGAATTTTGTTTTCAACCAATATTGATAGAAATATTTAAACACAGTTTTTAGTGGGGTAGTGTTGATTCTGTGCTGCTTTGTTTTTTTTTTTTTAAGATTTTATTTATTTATTTGACAGAGAGAGACACAGCGAGAGCAGGAACCAAGCAGGGGGAGTGGGAAAGGGAGAAGCAGGCTTCCCGCCGAGCAGGGAGCCCGATGCGGGGCTTGATCCCAGGACTCCGGGATCATGACCTGAGCCGAAGACAAATGCTTAATGACTGAGCCACCCAGGCGTCCCTCTGTACTGCTTTTATAATATATTACTCCATTGTGTTTGTTGAGTAAAATAGGAATATTTACTTTTCCTTCAAAGAATTTGAAATAGCTTCTGTAAATATTATGATCTTGTGCTTATAGGAAGTATAAAATTATATTTAACCATTTTGCTCATAGATCATTTTATACAGAGGATACAGCCTGAAAAATGTGAGTTTAAGTTATTGAGAAATAGGTCTTTGGATTTTTTGCATACCATTTATACTTTGTTTTGTTTTTGATGAATATTTATTTGACTCTCATAGCTTTTTTTTTTTTTTTTTGATGGGGGGCTCTCTCTTGTCAAGGAGATGATAAAGCTTTAGTCTATTCACTACTTCTTACTACTTTTATTTGCAAGTAGGGGTGAACTGATGTACTCATAGGAGATTGGGAAGCACTATAAATTCTAAGGTTTTTCATATGGAATTTTGGCTCTTTTCTGGTTAGTTTAATTGAGGAACTCTTTGACAATTTATTTGTGGCATTTGATTATATTCAACTTAAAATAGATGCTTTTAGTATTTTCTGTATTTTTCATATATTCTTGGATTTCCTGTAATACTGTAAGATCTTTCAAGGTAGAGACAATATTTTTAAACGTTAAAAATCACCTTTACAGTGTTATACACATAGTTGTATAAACTTAGCATCTTCTAAATTCTATTGGTTCTTTTAAAAAATAATGATTAAATTTCTCTGATATTTGAATGTAATTTTCTCTTTAGCCTACGATGTGTGTGTGTGTGTGTGTATTTTAGTATACTCACACATACCTCTTGATATTGTAGAAAGTTGCAGATTTCACCTGTTACCGCAACATTGTGGAGAGATTATATTTGAGAACATAAAATTGTTCAGTCTTAACTTTTCAAGTTTGCTGCATTTATTTATTTATTTATTTATTTTTAAAGATTTTATTTATTTATTTGACAGAGACATAGCGAGAGAGGGAACACAAGCAGGGGGAGTGGGTGAGGGAGAAGCAGGCTTCCCGCTGAGCAGGGAGCCTGATGTGGGGCTCCATCCCAGGACCCTGAGATCATGACCTGAGCAGAAGGCAGGCGCTTAACGACTGAGCCACCCAGGTGCCCCAAGTTTGCTGCATTTATTATGAACCTCTGGAAATTAGATAAAATCTTCACCACTTTGAGTTTCAGTCTTTTTTTTAAAGTGTTGAAATTCTATTTCATAAATTTTCTCCTACTGTATATCTATATGCAGCCTGATAGAAAACTTACAATATAGATATGATTCAGACTCCTAAAGTCAACATGATAAAAAGGTATTGCTGTTAAATATGATTCCAGATAGTTATGATAAATCTTTATTTAGAAGCCAAGGGTTAAAGTTCGTTTGGATAAAGAATGAATCTTTTGTTATTTGAATAAGGAAAATCTTGGTTAAGTGTAATACTTAAGGAAAAATGTTTTGACATTTTATTAATTAGAAAATCAGCCAATTATAAATTGATTTGTATTTCAGGTCTTATAAATCTTCCTAAAAGGGGATATTCTTGTCTTTTAAAAGAATAATGCTTACAAGTAAATATTTTTGTTTGGTTATCGTGCATTGCTGCTTTGTCACTAGTTAATTTTGGTAATTTTTATTTAGGAAATTTGTGGAAATTTCATAAATTATTCTTGAAGATACTGCTTGTTTGTTTTTTTAAGTTTTTATCTGAGCTTGTATTTTTGGCATTCACCTTAATAGGGAAGAGTTAGTACATTGAACGTTCTTCTCTTTAGATTCTAGTTAATTGAGATTTTTACTTTATAGCATTTAATAGATGAGGTAGCCCAGGCTTCGAAAAAAATATAAAATTTAAATAATCTTTTTCTGATCATTTTGAGTCATAAATTCTGTTTGTGGTTTTTGAAATACATAAAACACTTGATAATATTTGCTTTTCATGTAATAACTTGAACCAAGAACAAAAAGCATAATATAACTTATATATATTATTTAATGGTTTCTAAGCTTTGAGTACCAACATTGTAATCTGATGAGTTAACGCCATGGAAGTTATAATCTTTGCAATCTTAGGTGGTCTTTGATAAACAGTTTTTCTGCTTTTTTAAAAGTTCAGGCTCTAGAATTAGGTTTGGTTTCATCTTTTTATATCTTTCATCTTTATGAAATATATACCTATGGGTATATATATGTATATTTGTATATCTTCATCTCTTTTGTGTCTTTCTGCTATATGGTTTTGTGACTTCTGGTAAGTTATTACGATTGACTAAGCTTCAGCTTTGCCTTTCAAAGTAGAAATAATGATACTAATGAGTAGTACAGTGCTTAGCACATAGTAAACGCTCACTTTAGGTTAGTTGTCACTTATTGCCTACAGTAATAACTAAGCAAATCTCTTCTTTTCATACTTTCTCTTGTGTTCCAGTAGTACCGTGAACAGGAAGCTATTCGTCTTTGCCTAAAACACTTCAGACAACACAACTATACAGAGGCCTTTGAATCGCTACAAAAAAAAACCAAGATTGCCCTGGAACATCCCATGTTAACAGATCTACATGATAAACTGGTGTTGAAGGGTGATTTTGATGCTTGTGAAGAATTGATTGAAAAAGCTGTAAATGGTATGTTATAAACATGTAAACTGTGTTTATTAGGGTGATTTCAAGTATATACAAGAAATAGTTTTTTGAAAAGAATATAATCTTATGCCAATTATTAGTTTACTTTTTTCCCCTCTTTTTACTCTGTAGAGATTGTTAGCTTGTTGAATTATGTGCTGCTTTTATATAAGGTAGGTCCATAATGATACTTGAAAAACAACAAAGAAACATATTTGAACTCACATATCTAAATCTAAATTGCCATCTTGGGAAACCATGGAAGCATGCAGTTGCATTTATGAATGCTAACATTGACTAGCACTAAACAGTGTTACAAAAAGGCTTTATTTTTTATTTATTTATTTATTTATTTTTAAAGATTTTATTTATTTGCGAGACAGAGAATGAGAGACAGAGAGCATGAGAGGGAGGAGGGTCAGAGGGAGAAGCAGACGCCCTGCTGAGCAGGGAGCCCGGTGTGGGACTTGATCCCGGAACTCCAGGATCATGACCTGAGCCAAAGGCAGTCGCTTAACCAACTGAGCCACCCAGGCGCCCTACAAAAAGGCTTTAAATGTTACCTTCTGTTTTGGAGGCCTATTGCTTTATGTATTTTTGTTGATAGAAAATTGCCATTTTTTTAACGGCATGATTTGGCATAATGGATAGTTGGGTATGTTAAAAAATGTTATTAGTAGAAAGTTACAATGAATAATGAATGAGGAGATTTGTACTGGAAACATCTTTGTGATATGGATGCTACGTAATTGTTGATTTTTCTTGGATGGTTTTAAATCTGGTTTTGAAAGAAATGTGAATATTAGAACATGATATAATCTCCAAAGATAATTGTTTTGGAGGATGACATCTATTTGAATATTTAGGGCCTGGTATGTTTTATTATTTTTATTTTTATTTATTTATTTATTTTTAAAGATTTTATTTATTTGACAGAGAGAGACAGAGTGAGAGAGTGAACACAAGCGGGGGGAGTGGGAGAGGGAGAAGCAGGCTTCCCGCAGAGCAGGGACCCCGATGTGGGGCTTGATCCCAGGACCCTGGGATCATGACCTGAGCCAAAGGCAGACACTTAATGACTAAGCCACCCAGGCGCCCCTGTTTTGTTATTTTTTAAAAGGATCTCTGTTGTTATTTTATGGAATGGTATTCTTTTAAAAAATAATCTCCCACAGTGACAAAGAACAGAATAGGTGTTGTGGTATAATAGAAAAAAATATATTGGGATGCCTGGGTAGCTCAGTCAGTTAAGCATCCAGCCCTTGGTTTCGGCTCAGGTCATGATCTCAGGGTCTTGAGATTGAGCCTGGCTTTGGGCTCCCTGCTTAGCAGGAAGTTTGCTTAAGATTCTCTTCTTTGCTCCATCTGCCCCTCGCTCTGCTCAGACACATATGTGTGTGTGTATGTGTGTGTACACATTCTCTCTCAAATAAATAAATCTTAAAAAAAAATTTTTTTTTAATAGGGTGCCTGGGTGGCTCAGTTGATTAAGCGTCTGTCTTTGGCTCAGATCATGATCCCAGAATCCTGGGATCGAGCCCTGCGTTGGACTCCCTGCTCAGTGGGAAAGTCTGCTTCTCCCTCTCCCCCTGCCCCTCCCCCCTGCTCGTGCACGCTCTCACTCTGTCTCTCAGATAAATAAATAAAAATCTTTAAAAAAATTTTTTTTTAAATATTTGGTCTTTGTCTCCTAAAAGTCCTGAAATTTAGTGGAGGGATAAGAGTGTTTTTGTATGCTGAGATGACAGGTGGCTGGGGTCCCTAGATAGCTTCAGATTTCCAGAAAGACCAAACCCTGTGTGTAGAGGGCTGAAATTTTCAGCCCCACCACCCCAGCCCGATCTGCAGAGAGGGGAGAGGGGTCAGAGATTGAGTTCAACCACCAGTGGCCAGTGTTTTAATGAATCATCCCTAGGTAGTAGAGACTCAAAAAAAACAAAAACAAAAAAACCCCTAAACATTGAGGTGCCTGAAGAGGGCATAGAAAACACATACACACACTATCTCTCTCTCTCTTTCTCTGTCTCACTCACTCTGGTGAATTATTGAACCTGAGGGGGTTTGTGGGAACCCCAGATTTACAGGCAGTAAATAAGTACAGGTGGCCTGGGATTTGGGGTTGGCATTTGAAGTGGGGATAGTCTTTTGGGACTGAGCCCTTTAACGTAGAAGGATCTGACAGTAACTTCAGGTAGATAGTGTCAGAATTGAATTGTTGGATACCCAGTTGGTGTCAGAAAATTAGAGAAACAGCTGGTGTGAGAAAAAACCCCACACATTTGGTATTAGAAGCATTGTGAATAAAAACAGCTTAGTGCTCGGTATAAAACTTGTGGAATGAAATTTGGTGATTTTTTTTTTAATAGAACAATAGACTTTCTCCATTCTCTGCTTTCATGTATTTTAATCTTATCTCTGTTATCATCCATTATTATTATGTGCTCATTTATCAAATAGGTTGAATATTTTACAACTGAAGAAAATGGAACCAGTACTGCCTTCTTTGAGTTTATAAATTTTAAATTAACTTAAAATGAATTGCTTCTGGCTCCATTGCTTTGTAATAACAAACCTGCCTCTCAGCCTTATACATTGTTACTGCTTATTTAATTGGTAATGATACTTGCAAATAAATGATTACTGTGTTTGAAATAGAGTAAACTGTGCAGTATAAATAAATAGAATATATATGATTATTAGTCTCTTCCCAAACCATTAAAATGCCACCAATGAAAGTATAAATGTATGTATACCATTTCTAAGAATGAATTCTATATATTTTTTTAACCTAAAGATGAGGAAGTCACGAGTATTTTCATGGTTTGTTACTTTTGCTTCAAATATTTATCTTAAGGCATGTAATATTTTGTTAAGGTAAATAACAATGAGAACAACAAAAACCACTGGCAACTTTATGCTATTACTAGGCTAAAACAGTTATATTTAAAAACTGTGTCTTTATCAGTATACTCATTTAAGAGAAACTGTTAAAGTCATGTGCAACTTTGATATTACAGGGACTTAACTTACCTTTCTGGCTCTAGGAAGGGCCCAAGTTTTAGGGAAAATTGGTAATTACTCTATTCTTGAGACTTAGAACGCAGTCATATTTTTTGTACTCCTCAACTGGCTTGGAACAGTGTTTAGTTAATAAACATTCCTTCCAGGGTTGTTCAGTTTGCTGCTGACTTCACTGATGATGATTTGTTGGACAAATAAGGAAGTAAACACTGCAGAGTTTTTTGGCTTCTACTCCACTAAAAACATAGCAGAGAAGGGCAAGAAGTTCCTGTTTGCTAAATAGGAAAGCTTAGGGAATCAAAAGCATCTTATAATGGAGGAAACAAAAATTATGTTTAGTATATCTTAGTGTGTTCTTCAAATATGAGTATTTGAGATATTTGAGAGAAAGTGTCTCTAATAGGCTTCCTATTTGTTAGAAACACCCCTACATTTATATTTAATTTCATTACAGATCCAATACCCCTGGACCAATTATTGCTACTTTCTCCCTGACAGTGCCGGGGGAAAAAGTAGAATCCAGTGATGATGGGCAAAAGTAATCACCTAGAACAGGAAGTATTCAAAGAAAACCTAACCTCCCTTTGCAGTGTTTATCTTATTTCTTCCTCTTTAAATTAAACTTTGCTTTTTTAAGATAAGGGAGGGATAAAGTTTAATAAAATGGTCCTAAAGTTTCAACTGGAGGTCTTTATCTCCTTCCCACTTTCCCTCCTCCTCTCCCTTTTCTCTCTTTCCCCCTTTAATCATTTCTTCTCACTCCATGGTTTATGTGGTGGTTGTTAATTATGTGGCAAGCGTGTTTCCCTCTCAGCACTTTTTTTAAGTGAGATCTCAAGTCTTGTAGGAGTTACCTTTGTGGCAAGGTTTTTTTTTTTTTTTTTTAAGATTTTATTTATTTGACAGAGAGAAAGACAGCGAGAGGGGAACACAAGCAGGGGGAGTGGGAGAGGGAGAAGCAGGCTCCCCACTGAGCAGGGAGCCCGATGTGGGGCTTGATCCCAGGACTCTGGGATCATGACCTGAGTGGAAGGCAGTTGCTTAACAACTGAGCCACCCAGGCACCCCTGTGGCAAGGTTTTAAACTACAGATTTAATATTGTTAATAGCAATAGGACTGTTCATATTCTGTATATCTTCTTGAGTGAGCATTGGTAGTTTGCATCTTTTAGGGAATATTCCCATTCCATCTAAATTGGTGAATTTATTGGCATAAAGTTGTTCATATCTTTATGACATCTTTATGTCATATCTTATTCTTGAAATTGGTGATTGTTGGTTTCTTTGTCTTTCTCTGTTTTTTTTTCTTCTATTTCATTGATTTCTACCTTTATCTTTATTATTTCCTTTTTTCTGCATAGTTCAGTTTTAATGAAATGAAATGAAAGCTGAGGCCATTAATTTGAGATCCTTTACTAATACAAGGATTTGGTGTTAAAGAGTTACCCTCTAAATGCCAACATGAGTTCACTCCTTGGTGAGTCAGAAACTGGACCAGGCTGAATTGTTGCATAGAGAAAACTTTCATTTGCAGCAGAGGAGATCACAGTGAATGACTTCCAAAGCTGTGACTCCCTGAGAGAGGGTGAATGGGTTCCTTTTGTTTAGGGTTAGGATGAATATTTAGATTGGGAAGCCTTGTCATCATATGTAGAGGCGAGCATAAGGTCACACACGTGCCTTAAAGAAACATGCCTACACATACATTGTATGTTATGTAAGTGAAGCTGAGGCTCGGAGATTTTAGTATTATAATGAGGTAAAAGTAGTTGTTGTTCATTCCAGAGGTCACTCCATGGTCCTTCTGTGCAGGTGCAGGTTGGGGGTTTAGCTCAAAAGGTCTGGGTGGTCTGGGCCTGCGGGGGTCTTGTCAGGGCAGTCTCCATCACCTCAGGGGTGCTTTCAGGTTTCATTTACCTCAGTTAAGAGCTAAACAGAAAAGAATAGCTTACGGAAAAATATAAGACAAAGGTTCGTGAGTA